GCTTTAAGGATGCGCGATTAGAGATATTCGCACATTTGATTGATATGCCAGAAGGAAAAAGTTGAAGGTAAGACATCACATAAAGCATCAGCTTTGTCAGCGAATTCTGTCCATTGAATATCAGTTACAGTATCAAATTTGAAAATGCGACAGGTTTGGCGCTTGAGTTGACGAGCGCGAGCCAATTTAGTAGAGGCAAAAAGTAAAGACATATCATAGTATGTGATGACAGGGTTATGGTCAGATGTGCAGATGTCTTGAGCATCAAAAATGCAAGCAGTAAGGGCAAATCTTTTAAGAAGAGGACAGGACCATACATAATCAACACGAGTAATTTGGTCATTGCGATGAAAGGTGCCTAAAGAGTAGGAAAGATTAACAGGAGTATAGTCTTCATATCCATGAGAAAGGAGATGAAAAAATAATCGGTGAATATGTTTTGAAGCAATTTGGGGTTGATTAAAATAAATAGGGTAATATTTATCTAAATGCATATTAAAATCGCCACAAACAGCATGGTTAAAACCAGCTTGTTTAGTAAGGATAAGTTGTTGAATAAGCAAATCAATAGTATCAGTGCGCAAAACACTTTCAGCAGGGGGAGGGATATAGATAACAAATATACGCAATTTAACATTGCCTTTGAAATATAAATCAACAGAGAGTAATCGTGAAGAATGGGATTTAAAATCTTGAACATGTGAGGCAAGAGAATTTTCTATAAAAAGAGAAACACCGCCAGAAGAAAGAATTTGTTTAGAAGTATCCAAATTGGAAGAGAACACAGTATAATTAGAAAGACGTTTGGATAAAAACTTCATTTGTTTAGGGTGAAGATGGGTATCAACAATACCACCAAAAGAAATATGTTTTAACAAAAAGAAAGTAGAAATTTCTTCTAATTTAGTCTGACCATACATTTTAAGGCCATTAACATTAAAAGAAGAAATATTGAATGAATTGGGGATAGGGGAAGTGTTACTGGGGGAAGAAAACAACGATTCATGTGAAAAAATATCAGTAACATTATCAGGATTGGGAGGGTTTCGTACAAAGGTATCATATTTAAAATTATTGTCCGACATTAAAACACAATGATAAAAACAGTCGGGGAGTAAAAGTTAAAGAAGAAAATTAAACAGAAGAAGCTGAATCAGCTTGTTCCGGGGGAGCACCACCAAGGGAGCCAATGAATTGTTTGATATGACCAGTAAGTTGGTCTAATTTGCTTTCAATGGCGACTCTACTATTTTNGTTATTTTTAAATATTGATTAAAAAAATTTTTTTTATTTTTTATTAAATCTGAGTTATGTAAATATGTAACACATATTTAATTTAGATTTGTGTAATGTTAATTTTACTAAAATATTAAATTTTTATAAAAATCTTAATTTAGACTAATTCCAAAAATTAGCACATATGTAATTAATTATAACGATAATGTATTTTTAAAAATGTTTAATAAAATATCAAATTAATGAAAAATAAACTAAATAAAATTCAGAAATAAATCAGCTGGCTTTAGATTACAATTCTCATATATGAATACAGATCGAATCATTTACTAATGTAAGTCAAATATCCTTTCCGAATATAAGACGATTGGCACCCTAAATGTGCCCAAAAATTTGATCTCAATTTGATACAGGTTAGATCATCATTCGACCTATATTCGACCTGATCAAATTTAGGTTGAATTGTCCTATTTCAACTAGATAGTGTAACACCTGCTTTTCCAGAAACATTTTTATTTTACATCAGTCAATCACTCTGAACGTAACACATTTTTTTATCTGAGTCTTATAATACATAATACTATATCTAAAATTAATACGCAACTCAGTACTAAATGTAATATATTATTAAAACAAACTCAGAGAGCAAGAAATATATACAAATTATTTGAAAAAATAGGAATTGATAAAATCAAGTATATCACAACATATACTGTGAATTCTATTGCAGAATTATCTGATAATCAGTCAAACTCAAACTATTATTGGCTATTTCTCCAAGAATCCTAACATTGGATTACCTGATGATCAAGATAACTCTATTATCGATTCCGAAGAGGAGATTTCAAATGAGCAGACTAACACATCAGAAGTGCGAGTGAATACTTTAGTTTCAGATAAAGCAAACGTCTCAACAGTACCTATTCCGTTAACTTATGTCTCTGATTCTGTTAAATCTCAAGTCACAGAAAATAGAGTATGGTAGGTTGAATGGAATTACTGTGAAGATAAGGACATGTATGATAACTGCTATTATGATAAGATAAAGGTTATTATTATCATAATGGAAAATATGAAAGAAAAGTCTCACCGATGACGAGTCCAATCATCACTCCAGTATATGCTTAAGTATAATACCTGCTACTTCAGAGCTGAAATACGCAGTATAGACTAGGATAGTTCTGGATGATATGGTCTTAGCAAGTTATTAGCTTTTTTTGTATCGAATAAATAAAGCGCATGTATTCTAAATTACTAATCGCAGCCGCAGTTATGCCTGCAGCCGTAATATAGACTATTTATTTCTGATTTAGCTAGTCCAGGTGTTGATCATATCAGCTTTACCAAAATCATGTGATATACCAGATACTATTAATTCTGCATATATTTATAGTACAACCATTTTTTTTTTGTAGAAATCATCCCAAAGCATTACAACTGTTAACCTTCATAGTGGTTTTCAATGTAGTACATTTTAGAGAATATGTTACTGGTGGATAAATGCGTGAAAATGCCTCTTTCAGACTGAGAAACGGCCCTAAATACAAAGATATTATATTAAGATAACTGTTTCATACACTTTGGAAATAATTCCTCTAAGTAACATAAGTGTAACTATGTATATTTTGGCCATTTTGATACTAGTAAACATAGTAGATATTACATCAATTATTATGATGAGGTTCCAATCATTATATTCAGGAGCCATGCTGAGAACTGGAAATAAAAACGTGTAAATATTACAAGGGCAAAAGATGAAGAATTAGACTGTACCAGACATTTATGTAGCAACTTTACGATGCCTCTTAGGCAGTTTCTCAAGCCAGTACTCTTCTAATTCTCTTGTTGCAAGAAGTTCATCCCCATCATTGAGTGTGAGATTCCTCAAGATATCGTCCTGATTATCACATTCCATAACTTTAAGTCCTTCACTTTGAAACCAGCAGGAACATCTATTTCCGCTTTTATAGCTTTGTTGAGCTCACTAACAGGCTCGTCCCTACTAATTTTGAAGCATTCACAGTTGTATTACCCTTAACAAAGTAAGTGATAGACATTTTTCAACTTATATAGTGTTTTTTGCGAAATGCTATTGGCTCAAAGTGCAACAAGAGTAAAAAAGGAATTTTATTTGCGAATGGCACTAATGAGAGAATTGAGAAATTCATCGGTTGTACAGACCCCCCCTGTTGTATGACTCATTTATTTGTGACACAAATGCGGTGATATTAATCAATTAATGCTCCGGATCAGATCGGAATTAGTACTACATCAAGTGCTTACGACCTGAACAGCTCTACTGCGGATGAAGCTATATAAGATCATGCGTTCAATAGATAAGTATAGACATATCAATCAACAAAAGGCAATTTTTTATTACGTTTTAATATTTAGGTGGAATTTCGATATAAGTTTGAGGCATATAGTTATTTTTTAATTTCTTACATTCTCTAATGTTCCCTAGGAATTTCCCTTCACGTTTAATTAAAATGTTAGCGGTGCAATTATGATAATCTTTAGGTCTGTATTCTTTATCTAACTTAAACTCATCAAGCAACCACTCTTCAAGCTTATTTAACGAAGAAATTATATTTTGTTTTTCTTCATGATCAATAAGAGCAATGGTTAATTTGCCATCATTAATATTAGTTACCCTACATCCAATATTAACTTGTTTTTTATACTTTTTCCCGTCTTTTAATTCATAATCTTTTAATATCCATAACTCATCATTTACTCTAATAACTTCAGCATCACATGCGTCCCGAAGATATTTATCTGCGCTTTCATCTAAACATTAAATGTATGACTGTATCAGAATCGTATATTAATTATACCAAAAAATGTCCCATTAGTTGCGGAACAACGACACTTTCAGTAGAGCGTATCGTCGCACTACAACTCTTTTAGTCTAGATTGAACTGTAAGACGCTCAAATAAATACCTGGAGCTTTTCCTTTATCATCCAGATGCATAGTATCAAACGTTTCTGCTACTATAAAATTAGGTTATTTGATAGGTTTCTACAAATAAAAACACGTTATTATAAAAATTACTTACAACTTCCTATATTTGGTTCATCACCGAACTCTTTGACTTTCCATCCGAATGCGTCTCTAAGTACACCCAAAATATCATATTTGTATGTTTTTTGGGTTACCGATGTTGCATTCAAGTAAGAAATGGCATGGAATATAATGTATGCACGTGGTTTATCACGGATAAGTTCTTTAAGGGTTGGCTTTTTTAATGCGATCCATGTATGAATATCGTTAGCATAGAGACGTTCCATGGCGTCTGTCGTCTGTTTGTACCAGAGTTCGATAAGTAAGTATATCTCAGTTATTAGGAAATCTCGCACGCCCCTCAAGTCATCATCTTTATGGACTAATTCCTTTAACTCTGCATTGGCCTTAATTTCACATAGATTCCAATTAAGATTTTTTATTGCATCTCCGTACTCTGCTAATGTCATTTGCATCGTTGGTACTATACAAAAGTGCCATCCTTTTTGACAACACGTAGGAAATCGAAGTCTAGTCTTGTGGGTGAAAATAATAGCTAATCCTTGAGGTAGGAGAGTATCCTTGGGAAGAAAGTAGCAGTCAATTTGATCACTAATAGGATTTTTATGAGGGGGTTCGCCCAAAGGTGTAAAACATGAAACTCCTATTGGGTTAATATCATCGTGTATGTAGTGTCTTACGAAATTTCCATCCACAAGTTCGTAGTCTACATGTCTAATCTCTTCAGTTGTATCTCCAAGTCGGTGAATGGGGCAAGGAGTCTTTGTTAGAAGCTTACCTTTCCTTGGTGGTCTTGAAGTTGCAGATTCCATGGTAATTAATTAACCAGAAAATTAATATATATGTTGCTGATATTTTCAATTTTCGTCTCCAAATTTGACCTTTTTTATATTTTGCTGAAAGTAGGAAAGTGATTAATAAGCGGCAGAATTTTAGTATGGGAGAATTAAATCCCTTTTAACAACATGATTTTTTTTTTTATAAATCAAGCATAATCGACAAAATTTCATGAATTACACGTGATATTTATCAAGTAAACGTTTCACATAGAGACCTTCTGACTCGTGGAGATCACGAAGTTCATAACAGGTCCCTTTTTGGGACCACATATGGTTTTGTCCCTGCCGATCACTGCTCTCCACACCATGCTTGACAAGGCAGAATAACGTGACTGACATTTTCGGGTTTTATACGGTTTTTCGTGAAATGTTATTGGTGCAAACTAGCGTGAGAAATCAATCTGTTATACAAATATGTTATCAGTTATGTGATCGTTTATTTTGTGACAGGAGTACATTAGGGATGTTATTCGAGTTCGAAGTAAAAACTACTTGAATCGAGTTTTATGGTCAATAGTATTTAAAATTCAATGAAATCAATTTTTGAGCATAAAGTATAATAGCATAACAATTCATATATGCATTAATTTTACAAATGAAATAAAAATAATTATTTTGCGTATTATATTATTAAATCAGGGTTAAACTAATTGCTTGAGTAAGCAAACTTTACTAATACATTTATAAGCATAGTTTCAAACATGATTCAAAAATTGGTTTATGTAAATCAATTTAAAGCCAGATTCAAATTAGTTTAATCAGGTTTAGAACCTGAACTAAATGCTTAAGCAATCTAACATCCCTAGAATACATGCATGTTGGCAAACAAACATCTTAAATTGTGAACATACACATGGTAACAGAAATGGCCTATTCCTGGTATATCAATATTTTATTTAATATAAAATTTTGCTACAGTATGAATATCAATACATAATTTTTCATCTGTAGGGTTGTGATCTGCCTGATTCACTTTAATAACTATGGCAATATCAATCCTATATAATTCACCCAAAACAAATGAGTTTAACATTTCATCGCTTTCAAGTAAATCATTTATAAAGACTAATGTTCCAATTCTTGACTCCAACAAGCTCAGAGAAACATTTGTGAACTCTGTCCTTTAATCCAACTAATGTTACCATATCGCAACTAATATTTCAGCTAATATTTTTCTTATTATACCTATAACAAAGTTTGTAACAAATTTTCCTCTAATTCATAGAACTCACCATGATAGGATCCCGAAAAATACATATAAAAGTCAGCAAAATTTTGCTTTAAAATAAGCAAATGTTTTTACTAAAATCAATACGCAAAGTTGACTTCTGACTTTATAATTTATATTAGAATAAGCAAATTTTTTTTATGACATTTGTATATTAAAAAAATAAAATCATGGCTTTTTTTTTAATTTAATTAGTTGTATTTAGCAGTATAATTGATTTTCAATTGCTAGCATAATGCCAAATTGCATAAATTAATTTGTACTAACATATTTATTTATACTACTATATTTAATTATTTGATAATTCAAGTATTAACACTAAAACAAAAAGATTGTTCATTATTTTTTAATAAATTATAACAAAAACTTAGAATATTGATAACATTTTAAAGTTAAAGAAAAGTCAATATAATTTATAAAATCATTTCTAAAAGAAAATCCTATTTCTAAAGAAAAAAAATATTAATACTACTTTCACATATAAAACAAAAAAAATTCCACCCTATTCTCAACTTACTAAAAATTTCAGTTTAGTTTTAATCTAAAAACTATTTCTAATAGAAAAAACAATAGAAATGTTAATAATACTTCTAAAATAAACAAAATAAAGCTAAAAAATTCTTTACTTACAGTGAGCATTGGAGTTCCAGTCTGAATTCCAAGTTCCTAAAAAAAAAGTAAAAGGAATATTAGTATAGTAATATTTCCAAAAAAATTGACTATACTTTTCTCTTAACTCATATTTTTCTAAGATATTGGTATCTAAAATAATAAATTTTAGATTTAAGAAGTTGCTTTTAAAGAAAAATAATAAAAAGGAATATTAATAACATTCTAAACCAAATATTTTTTTTAAATAAAATGGCCTGTTGTTAAAAAAATATAACAGTAAAGGTCAAAAAAAAATTTTTATTGANCTGTCTCTTATACACATCTAGATGTGTATAAGAGACAGATTCTCAACTTACTAAAAATTTCAGTTTAGTTTTAATCTAAAAACTATTTCTAATAGAAAAAACAATAGAAATGTTAATAATACTTCTAAAATAAACAAAATAAAGCTAAAAAATTCTTTACTTACAGTGAGCATTGGAGTTCCAGTCTGAATTCCAAGTTCCTAAAAAAAAAGTAAAAGGAATATTAGTATTGTAATATTTCCAAAAAAATTGACTATACTTTTCTCTTAACTCATATTTTTCTAAGATATTGGTATCTAAAATAATAAATTTTAGATTTAAGAAGTTGCTTTTAAAGAAAAATAATAAAAAGGAATATTAATAACATTCTAAACCAAATATTTTTTTTAAATAAAATGGCCTGTTGTTAAAAAAATATAACAGTAAAGGTCAAAAAAAAATTTTTATTGAATAAAATGGTTTTTTACAGACCAAAAAAAATTATTTTATTTTTTTCTTTCAATAAAATGGTCTGTTAAAAGTCAAAAAATTGAAAAAAAATTATCTATTATCAATCAGATTAGCCGTCAATTATGTATTTTCAAAAATTTATGTATTATACTATGTGTAATGCTGCTTATTAGGGAATTCCAAGGCATTATGCTACTAATTAGTAGAAAATTGCTGGAATTCCAAGGCATTATGCTACTAATTAGTAGAAAATTGCTGGAATTCTAAGGCATTATGCTGCTAATTAGTAGAAAATCGCCAGAATTCCAAGGTGTTATGCTGCTAATTAGTAGAAAATTGCTGAAATTCCAAGGCATTATGCTGCTAATTAGTAGAAGACCGCTGGAATTATATATATATATATATTTTATTAAAAAATACCGTTGATTATGCAAATTAAAATATATGACATATATAAAAATGATTATTATTATGCAAACTATATATATAACCTTTTAAAAAATCTCAAAATCTATGCAAATAAAATTTTCCATATTAAATTAATTAATTAATTTGGATCGTATATGACTTTTGGAAATTTTACTAATATAGTTAAGCAAACTTATATGTGACCTTTATATATATTTTTGTGGGTCCTACCATGATATAAAGATATCTCAAATTATAAATACAGTCGGACCTCTATGTACCAATACTGTTGTTTTAGGAAAAATATATCAGTATATCAAATTATCGTTACATAACCATCATCAGTGAATCATAATGCGGGCCAAAATCCAATTCTTACCAGCATTATGTAAACTCTGGATAGCTAATATATTAAAATGTCATGTGATTTGGATGGAACCTTTATGTTTAGTAACTCTGGCCAAATTCATAGTGTTGACTCAAATTAATACCAGTGTAACCTAAAGTATCTGTACATCTTCTTTACTAAAAATGGCTATTTTTTTGAAATACTTTTATAATATTCTTATTATACTTTTGCAATACTGACATTATTTTGTAATGGTTGAAATTGTTTTTATATATTTTGCAATTAATTACAAATATTATATCACAATGGCTAATAAAAGTATTACAAACCATAATTTCAAAACAATTTAAATATTATGTTGCAATGGTGTTTGTAATTGATTTATTATTAATAATATAATTATAAATTGAAATTATTATGAAATTGTATTGCAATATTTATAATATTAATATAAAATTGTATTGCAATGGTTTATATATCTTAATATGAAATTGTATTGCAATACTATTGCAATGGTTTATATATCTTAATATGAAATTGTATTGCAATGGTTTATATATCTTAATATATATGAAATTGTATTGCAATGATTATATTTTATATGAAATTATATTGAAATGGTAATTGCATTAAACTTTACTACTGAAGACTCCTCTTTTTGTCACTATAAACAGATGGAGAAGCAGCAATAGCTCTCCCCCTATAGGTACTAAAGACCTCTACCTGTTTACAGAGGAGGGGCTTTTCGTAAAGTTATTAGATATATATATATGTGTGTATATAAGCATATATATATATATCATTAAAAAATTATAAAAAAAAAAATTGGATTTCGGGAGAAAAGGCCTATTTATATAAAATAAAAATCACGTGATCGCGTGATACCACGTGATTCATATTAATAATAACTGCGGTAGTTAAGCTTTTTTTTAACTTTTTCCTGCACTTCGTCCTTTCTGATTTTCCTATTTCCTTTTCTCTCGTTCTTTCCCTCTCCCTTTCCTTCGTTCTCTCTTTCCCCTTCCTTCGTTCTCTTTCCCTTCCTTTCCCTTTTTCCCATACATTCTATTAAACAAACTGATCTTTTTTCTAGATAGTTCTACCGGTCTTCCTGGACGCGACATTTTGTAAGTAATTAATTTTTTTGTTTCATTTTTTTATTTTAAAAAATGATTTTTTAAAAATTCGTTTTTTCTTTTTCTAGATAGTCGGATTGCATTGAAATTAGGTAGAAAAGGGGGAGGTCAGGAGAGTGTATTCTTTCGTATTTTCATTGATGAAACGTTTATTAAAGTTTCGAGTTTTCTTTTTTTTTTAGACGGTTTTCTGGATTTCTTTGGACGGGCGAGTTTCTTCGGCTTTTTGGTTCGGGATTTCAGTAAGACAATTTTTTTTATTAATTTTTCTATTTTTAACAAACCTTATTAAAGTTCGTTTCTTTTCTTTTTTGGGTCAGACGTTAGTAAGACGTTTTTTTGAAAAAATATTTTTATTTTAACGAAACGGCTACTAACGTTTCATTTTTTCTTTTGTAAACGGTCAGTCTTAGACGCATGGAATTTCAGTGAGGGGAATTTTTGGCTTTTGTAAATAATCTTTTTCAACGAAACTTCTAACATTT